GATAGCGTGGTATCCTTCTTTCAAAGTAAATGTTTACCTGGTAGTCTTTATAGTTAACATTTGCAAATTATCGTACATATCAGAAATGGGGGAATTTGAGCAGGCAGCGGTATAATTCCCATACTATTGGAAACTTATGTTATTGTTTAGTGATAAATTAAGGTCTCGATGACAGCAACGACATTTCTAACTTCGTTTTTAGAAATATTTGAACCAATGTTGATCAAAAATAAACATTTAACCGTTACCTTTTAAACATGAATTGTACACATTTTAAATACAATCACACATATGTGCATAAGGGTGCCCCGTGGACCACTTTTCTCTCAAACGATGCCTATTATGTTCTAAGTACGAGTAATATTTTTTGGAAAAGAGCCTCAGTTCCCTACCAGCTGAAAATTATGGAATTTTTGATACCCATAATGAACTGAGGCCTCTTTCAAAAAATATTTTTTTATTTCTCTCGTGTCCAATGCATTAATATACCTGTAGGTATTCCTACATAAGATTCTTCAAAAGGGAATTCCTCTAGACACCCTTATGTACATATATTGTGTGTTTAGAAGCAGAAAGTATTTTAACTAAAAAGTTGAAGGTCAATCTCTATAGATACAATAGAAATTGTATTATACTTTGTTTTGTTTCATATTTTTAATGTATCTTTTTATGCAAATATTTAACAATAGATTAATTTGTAATATGATATCAATTTGTTGAAACTGAAGATCTTACAATACAACAAAATCGCAAATCGCAGACATTTTTCATACACAAACTAAGTGGTCATTAACTTTTATACCTGAACATATGAACGTATTTTATATTCATTGATTCTAAGAAAGACATTTATTTAGTTACATACATATGTACATATCGCTTATTTACTATAAGACTGGCATTATAAAAAATCGGGGTTTTCATCTGAGTACTAGAAAATGTGTCTGTATCATATTAAAGTCTATTTTCAAAAAATTATATTATTTTTGGTATGTAGCTTCTTTTTACCTATTGGTCCTAGCAAAAATTGTCCAAAGGAGTTTAGATAGCTATTTCATCATTATTTCCAAAAAAATATTTATTCAAAAAACTACCTTTTTTCTCAGAACAAAGCTTATACAATTTCCTATAAGGGCTTTATAGTCCCATAATGGGATGCTAGTGACCGCCTCTAAGTCCGGCAGTTCTTCACCGATAAAGCTGAAAATTTTTGTCTGCCCTATTTCCAATAGTACTAAACTTAATGAAAATTTCGTACAAATATATTTTTTGAGTTGGGTCACTTGACACGAAACTGCCCATATGTATATGCTTTTAATAACTTAGTAATCTTTAAATAATGTCACTTGACGGTCAAACATCATTGGTTTTCTTTCAAGAACAGAATTTTACTTGTCTGTGCAGTTTTATTTGACATTTTTGAATGTTATATTTATTATTGAAATTTTATAGGTTCTGTGTCTATACTTATAAAAGAAAATACTTTTGAAAAGGTTATTTTATGTACATACATAGGTAACTAAAATTTTATTTATTTACATATTTGTCTATTCTCTATATAGTATGTATGTATGTTAGGGTGGCCCAAAAATGGAAGTTGTTGATGTTCCCACCGAAAATGGAAATTTAGTTCATTTTAAGATACCGTTTCTCAAAATTTTTGTCCAGACGTCAATATTTGGTGAGCTGGATAAAAGGATAAAAATGTCCTTTTTTAAGGTTTTTTTGACATTTATGACAATCCAAATTTTTTTTCCTTCATACAAACGGGGTCACCCTAATGTACATACATATATATGCCGAAGGGTATTATCTTCAGCTACCAAGTGTTACACGTCTGTTCAGGATTTTCTAAAATAATAAAAGGATGTGTCTTTACTTTTACAGTTCTAGTAAAAGTAGACTTTAACATTCCAAAAAAATCGTGACACTCTAAACTTTTAAAAAGTTTTCTAGAAGATCTGATGAAAAGTTGTACATAACTTTAAATAGTTTCGATTGTGCTTCTTAGACGGAAACTTGGAGGTTACACTGCATTTTGATTCTAAAACAAACATTTTCGAATTTGATGAAACCCAGCAAAAATAAAACGAAGTACTTCCAAAGGAATAACATTTATCACCAATTCAAAAGTAGCACTAAGGGATTTTTTACCTTCTGAGGAAGTGATATTTAAAGACTTCCGAAGAAGCGAAAATAATTCTATTTTTTCAATGTTAAAGATATATTTGTTGTTCTTACATTTTTATAAGCTTTTGTATTTAATGTTTCTATTACCCTAGTTAATGTTAATATTATTTAATTCAAATTAGTTATATTCTATAATACTACAATTTCACTTCCGAATAACTTCCAAAAAAGAGCAATAAAATTATTTCTTGAGAATGACTTCCGATGTAGTGAATTTGAAATTAAATAAAAAGGACATTCCTCCCATGACAAGCCTGTGTTAAAATCATTACTTCTTCAGGTCTTTTTCAGTACTTCCATGGAGTAATTTCTACTTCTTTTTCGCTTCTTTGGAAGTTCTTCCATGAAAAGGTAAACCAAGACTGAAAAAATAAAACCCTTATAACTTCTGCATTTTTGAAGATAATTCAACAAAATTTGGTATATGATCTTTTGTAGCACCAAAGACGAAGACTGTTGAAAATTTTTGAAATCGGTCTATTTTTACACCCCGCCGCCATACAAACGGAACCGAAAATATCACTTTTTAGCTCATAATTCTGTTAATTATAATACTATCCCTCCAAAATCAGCAGATCTAAAATGTTTATAAGCCTAAACCTTTATGCCGATTTTCATAACGATTGGACCTCATTTGACCCTAGTTCCATTCAAAGTTTAATTTCAGAAAAACACTTAAACGTCCGTAACTCACCTCTAATCACTATTATTATGATAAAATTTGGCACAAATAAGTTTTATATGAATTAAAATCACACCCTAGAAGTTTATGAGGATCGGTCCATATTTGACCCTAGTTGCCATATAACTCCAGTTTTTTATTTTTATCTATAAATTGCTTAAACATTTATATAGGTCGGCCATGTCCGACTGCACTTTCCTACTCCTTTTGATTTGTTGAAGTGTGTGTATGACGATGTGTCACGTACGATATTTAATTATGTTCATTATAAAATTATATTAATTTCTTTTTTTATTTAAAAATTATGGATTACTAATGAAAAATATGTCCCATAGTGTAAGAAATTAAAACAAAAAAGATACACCTACAGAATTCGCAGATTTTCGTAAATATTTACATGTACTTTAAAAACACTTCCGTTTTTTTTGTCACGTATGATATCGCCATATTTTAATCCATATTTTGGAAAACAAGATTCCGAATGGGATGATTCCTTTTGCATTCCATTTAAAGAATACTATATTTCTTTAAATGGAACAGAATGACAAAATTGTTTTTCAAGTACTCCTAATTTTACAAAATCTATGCGAATGTCACATACAATCGTATGGAATTGCCCATATATGAATTTATTTAATTTTTTAATAATAATGCAGTACATTTAGTATTTAGGTGAGATTGTATTAGTTCAAGTTGTGAAATTAAAATATTTGTGCAAAATACCATATAATATTTGTTCCCTGTAGCTTCTGAAGTATAAAATTATTATATTCATTGGTGTATAAATTGCACATTTGAAAGGCAAAAGACTCAGAATGCAAATTAAAATACTCCTTTACCTCAACATATTAGTTTATTGCTCTTTTAATTAATTTCCTTAGATAAATACATCTTAAACATTTGATTACATTTCAAACTTTCCTTTCTAAAAATATTTCAATAAATTTGTTTAAACTTTAACACACAACATACTGTTGCAAGTTTATTTACAATGTTCACAACGCAACACAGCAAAATGGAATCATAAAATTGTACTTAACACCCCCTTAAGAAATATGTATGTGCATTTGTTTGCTTAAAGACAAAGGGAACAAAAAATATTGAGCAAATGTTAGAGAAAATTACACAGTTTTAGAACATCACATAAAGAAAAACAAGTAAGAAAGTATAGTCGGGCGTGGCCGACCATATGATACCCTACACCAGTTATGAATATTAAATGTGATTTATTTTTCATAATATCGCATTTATCTTCAATATTCCCTGGTTCCGATACATTTAAGCAATTTATGGATGAAAAACTAATTTTCTGAAAGAGGCTTTATATGGGGGCTAGGGGCAAATATGGACCAAGCCCGATAAAATTTTGTGAATATATTTATATTTACATAATATTTTATTGTGCTGAATTTCATCGCGATATTTGTGTTTATAAGTTAATTTGGGACATTCAAGTAATTTTCTGAAGGGGACTTTGTATGGGAGCTAGGGTCAAATGGGGCCCGATCTTTATGAAATTTGGCAGGGTTATCAAGACTTCTATAAAACTTAGTTATGCCGTATTTTATCGATATATCTGTATATTTAACATAATTATGAGCTCAGAAGCCCTTTTCGGGGGGTTCTGTTCTATGGGGGCTAGGTGAAATAATGGACCGATTTCAACCATTTTCAATAGGCTTCGTCCTTGGGTCAAATAAAAAGTGCGTGCCAAATTTCATCCAATTATCTTTAAAATTGTGACCTGTAGCTTGCGCACAAGGTTTACATGGACAGCCAGCCAGCCAGCCAGCCAGACGGACGGACGGACGGACGGACATAGCTTAATCGACTCAGAAAACGATTCTAAGCCGATTGGTATACTTTAAGGTGGGTCTAGGACGAATATTTTTATATGTTACAAACATCAGCACAAATCCAATATACCCTCCCCACTAAAGTGGTGTAGGGTATAAAAATCGTCTCAAGGACGTGATAAATATCCTTGAACAGAAATATAAACAACAGTAACACATAAAATCATTAACAGAATAAACAAACAAACAAACAAAACCTCTGCAAGAGTTTAACGATTATAATTTTTTTATTACAACGAGAACAACAAAAAGAAAGAAAGTAAATTAATTACCGTATTTTCGTTAGAACTGATGGCAGGAGTAGCGCGCACTGCAAGGGCAATTGTAGACACAAAAGCACACAGAAATACCAGTGTTGTCTTCATCTTGCCTCTATATTTTAAATTTCTTGGATATAATTTGAACTTAAGCTTAGTTTTTGGTAATTTAATTAAATAATTCTGTTTTCACTTTTGTTCGTTTTTGGTTAATTGTATAATTTTAACTTTTTTTTAATTCTAAGTTCTTTTTATATAAAGGTTTTATTCTCTGTTATTGCACTTTATTTTTGGAATTTAAAATATATTTTGGATTTTAATACAATTAACACTGTTCGTTTACAATTTATTATCCTTGCATTCCCAGAGCACTGTTAGAATTTTCAAATGCACTGACTTATACACTAACTAAATACTTAGTAAGCATAAAGTTTTAATCCTTTTTGTTGGGATTAAGTTTTTTGTTGTTGTTGTTGTTTTTTTGGTAACGTTTTATTTTAAATAGGTTGTTCTCTACTACAACCTTTAATATTAACTTCAACTGCCACTACTACTGCTTCGTCTACTTCTACTACTACGACGACGACAACTAAGTGGATTGAATGCGTCGAAAATGTGATGACATCGTCGTGATATATGAAAACCTAATGCAATTTTTCGAGAGTGTGATTAAGATTTTATATGAACCCCAACCAACCGCTGCAGCAGCAATAGCAACAATTGCAAATGTTTAATAAACTTCAACTTTTCGCTTTGTCTTTACTATTTAGTGGCTGTTGTTCCAGTTGCTCCTAGCTGGAAAAGCAAAAGCAAAAGAAAAAAAAAATACAAGGAATTTCCATTAACAAACACTTTTAGCCAGCATTGTCTTGTTTATGATACATGGCTTTTTTTAGTTAGTTTTCCACAAGATTTTTTTCTATATTGTTTTTGGATTGCAATATCTAACTCGTTTTGTGTACCATCACAATCTATTTGCAACAAGACTTTTTTTTTCAATGATACATAAACCAAACCAAAAAAAAAAAAAAAAACACACATTTCATTGATTGTCTTATAAAATTTCCCAAAACAAAATACAACACATAGTGTCATGGATTTTATAGTGACTTAGTATTTACACATGCAAAGGGGGGATTTCATATACAAATACTATACCAAGCAGCTTTCATAAGTCATCTTAAAAGACGTCGATATATTTATTTTGACATTTCGTTTGTAAAACATCGAAATATGGACGCAGACCCATAACTGTTTTTTTTTTTGGGTTTAAGGTGATGAAATGATCCCTGATTTCAGCCGTTAACTGTGAAAAATCTTGTCAATAATAAAAACAAACCAAAAACATATGAAGTATGGTTCTAAGCGTTCTTAGAACGTTTTTAATGTTGCAATTTTAAATTCTTAGTTATCTAATTTATATGCTGTCAAAATTTGGTTTAGATCCGTCTAGTTTAGTTTTGGATCCACAAAATATGTATCTGGGTTCCTCAGAAAACTGATTTCAACAGACACACGGACATAGCTTAATTAACTCCGCTTTATATAATGATCCAGAATATATATGTATACATATATATTTTATTAGGTGAGAAAATTATCCAAAATTTTTCGATACCCGTCTTTTCGCATTCGTATTTCACAGTCATCAATTTAGAATCCACCAAAATGACATGTTCTAAGATTTGAATTAGTCAAAAAATAAGGAGAATTTTTGTCTTCAATATGTAAACCAGGTTCGTTTCAAGTTTACCTTAAGTTTTAACTTCACTTTAAGGATTTTGAAGATTCCATATGTTGGGTGATTTCTTTGGTTCTACAGAGTAATAAAGCGCTATAATACTATTGGTGTTGATTTTACATCAGATCCCTCCTACGTTGACCAACTGACTTTTATTTTCGGAAGTTGTGCCTTGAATGGAAACAATGCTCAATACTACGGTTAGGAAATTGGTAAAATTGTACTTTTTTGGTACAATTCAATCCTCAAAGGTACAATGGTACACCAACGAGCCATTTTGTACAATTTTTAATTTATTTTCTTATTGAAATAATAATCTGAAATTGTACTTCTGACACAATGTTAAAAAGTCGGTAGTCCTTCGATAAATTCTGAGGAGGAAAAAAACAATTCTTGTTTATATTCTCTAATATTGTTTAGAAACCTGGAAGAGATTACAACGAGACAACAAGCAGTAATAACTTTCAATAAAGAATATTTATTTAGGATTATTTTTTTATCCGATCGATAAAATTTTAAATATTTTTAAGAACGCTATTTTGAAATTTAAAGTACCATTTACTATACTTTGGATTACTCTAATGAATTGTCTATGGTCTGGTCGATAAATTAGTCTAGGGACTAGGCTATGAATTAGTCTTTGCATTATATACCTATTATCTAGTTTCTAGAGTCTATTCTATAGAATATTCTATTATCTAGTTTATAGACTACTCTATGAATTTGCTATTGGACTAATATACTACTACTCTAATGTCTAACCTATAAACTAGAAAATGGATAGTCTATAGAATATGCTATTGTCGGGTTTATAGACTACTCTATTGTGTAGTCCATAGGGAGGCTATAGACTGTCTAGTCTATGGACCAATCTGGTGATCAAATGGACTTGTTTAATGCCTAATGATTAATCTATGGGCTAATACAAGTGAACTGTTAATTTTGAAAGTGCTTCATATTAATATAAAATTTCCAATAAACTTGATTAGGTACCAAAGGAATCAAAAAAGTGCAATTGTTATTAAATATGACAAAAAGTATTCAAAAAAAAATGTGCTTTTGCAATTTTCGTTCCATGTGCAGCATACTCACTAAACTTTTGATGCTTTGGCATTATTCAATCCTTTAAAAGATTATTGTGGCACAGTTACGACAAGGTTTCAAATGTAACTGAAACATAGGAACAAATAGAAAATGTTACTTTGCAATTTTCATCTCATGTGGAGCACTTTCACTAAACTTGTGATGCTTTGGCATTAGCTCAAATCCTAGCAAAAAATGAACATTGGAAACTAATCTTCTTATATGGTATAACCTTTTGGGAACTATAAAGAATTTGAAGTTATATTTAAATGTGAAAAAAAAAATTTGCTGCCAATAAATTTTATTTCTAAAAGAACTGGAATTACGCACTCATGCATCTTTGTTTCTTAAAAAATTAATCTAATTTCGAATGGCATAAAATTTTGCAAGGTAACATTTAAGGGTTCTTCCTTAGGTTAATTGACGGCATGATATCATGCTAACTAACTAACTAACTAACTAACTAACTAACTAACTAACTAACTAACTAACTAACTAACTAACTAACTAACTAACTAACTAACTAACTAACTAACTAACTAACTAACTAACTAACTAACTAACTAACTAACTAACTAACTAACTAACTAACTAACTAACTAACTAACTAACTAACTAACTAACTAACTAACTAACTAACTAACTAACTAACTAACTAACTAACTAACTAACTAACTAACTAACTAACTAACTAACTAACTAACTAACTAACTAACTAACTAACTAACTAACTAACTAACTAACTAACTAACTAACTAACTAACTAACTAACTAACTAACTAACTAACTAACTAACTAACTAACTAACTAACTAACTAACTAACTAACTAACTAACTAACTAACTAACTAACTAACTAACTAACTAACTAACTAACTAACTAACTAACTAACTAACTAACTAACTAACTAACTAACTAACTAACTAACTAACCTAACTAACTAACTAACTAACTAACTAACTAACTATCTAACTAACTAACTAACTTAAACCAAATTATGTGTGAGTTCCGTATTAGTTTTAGTTTCATAAATTCATTGATAAAGACTTTGATATTCAGAAATTTCAGTTTAAAATTTAAAATCTTGACAATATCCTAGTGTATGGAATGCCCTCTTCTACATAGTTTATAAACATACGTATCAACTAAGTCTAAGTCACACAGATCTTTAGCTCTCTGACTTGTTTTTCAAGTTCAAGGAGCTTTGTGGCTTTTAATGTACAACATACATACATACTTATATACAAATGTATGTATGTATTTTTCTTGTATACAATCGCATGCCACATTTTTTTTTCTTTTTCATTTTTCATTCATTTATCATCGACTAACAAATACAAAAAGAAAAACTAACTGTGTTGTTTACAATACTGACATACATTGGTTTGTTTATTTCATTAATCTGAGTATTGATTGCAATCATACGAACGAATTGTAATTCATTTCATTTTTAATTATGTTTTGAAAAAGAGTTGGGTGTAATTGATTTATTTGAAAAATGTGGCTTTCGAAAATGTAAGATAAATAATTGGGAAAAGAGTTGTAAGAGAGTAAAAAAAAATACACTTAGAGGTTAAACTATCAGTGGCGCATGATGTGTGTGAATTTTGAAATATAAACTTAGTAGCACTAAATAAGTTTATTGACATTAAATTTAATATGACCACATAATTTATATTGAAATTTCTAAACACTAACTTTCGAACAAATGATTATTAAAATAAAATTAGAACTTATACCCACTTTTCTGGCCAACCTTTGAGCTGTTAATATATACATATGTATGCTAGTAAATATGTACAAATATGTATATTATACTGTAATCATAAATACCTGATGACATGTAGACAGTTTAATCTCTTAAGGCCTTCTTAAACTAGTAGTTTGAGATGAAAGTGAGCATTAAATAAAATCTAATTCTCCAAATTTCGTCTACCAGTAGATAGAAACCCAGCAAAAACATGGTATTGATTTGTACTTAACAACTTACTACTACATACCGGCTGCATTACATAGAAGGAGTCTAGTAATGACATGCAAATAATACAATATGTAAGTACTTACTTTTTGGCCTTAACATTAACATTTTGTTTTTTACACAAACGTAAATAAATTAAAAATTTTTGCTAAAAACTAATAGTAGACGCAGTGGACGTATCCTTGTAGGGTATTTTTTTTTCAAAAACAAAGCTACACTTACTTAACTCCTTATTTGCAAGTGCTCGTTATAATTACTTACCTAACTGCCTATTTGTAAGCAAGCATGATAAGTACTTGCGTCCAA